TCAAGAAAAATTTAAACAAAGACATTAAAACATATACCATGCAACACAAACTCATGAAACTGCTGTAGTTGATTTCTTGTCATAATATGAAAGAAAAACATTATTGGAAATGAAGAAGCATGCGTCTTAAAAACACATTTATTACTTTATCCTTAGTAATAGTTTATACATAGGGTAACACAAGTTCAACATAGAATTGAAAGAAATAAGTAGGTCATCAAAAGCAGGGATTTAGTACTTGCACAATTTATAACACAGATATTGCAGTGAACCTCTAGAAGATTTAAACTATACAATTAAACACATATATATACACACACATATACTCTCTTAACATACAGAATATTTATATGTTTAAGTTCACATGAAAATGTTCCAAAATACACTATAATCTCATACTATCAAGCATATTAATACAAAAATATAGTGCTGTGCTTTCAATACCATAACACTAGCAGTCAGTCTTTACTAGCAGACAATTAATATGCAGCTACTCAAATTTAATATTAATTAATTAAAAATGAGTCACTTTTATTTTCTGAGTCACAATATTCACATTTAAAACATGACACAGAACACTTCCAACTTCACAGAAAATCTGACAACAGTGTATTTAAAATAGAAGTCAATAATCCAAAGTTTGAAATCCCATATAACTTTTAATTTAGTAATATATTTATGAATATTGTAAGGACCAAAAAATTCCATAATGCATATGAAAAATTATATATGAATCACAAGGAAAATAAAGTCTTTCTTGTGAAAAACCTACTGTCTTAAATGTATACTCTACAAAAGAAAAAAAGCATATTTTGAAATATCTGAAAATTCATCAAGGAATTTTAAAACAGGAAATTTGACATTTACTGACATTTAATACAAGAAAAATAGTAGAGGGAAAGCAATAAATAGTACAAAATCATGATGTAGAGCAAAATTACAGTGGAAATGTATGAGTCAAAAATATTTCACTTAAAAAGCTGTAAAAATATAACAGAATATTAAAGAAAATTCAGAAAAGGCAGATATTTTATTTCTGGATTAAACATGAGAAATCATTACAATTTTTATAGCTATGAAATTGATAACTAAACTATATTCTGTATACCTATTAATATCCATATTAAATTTGTTTCTAAAACATACAAATTATCAAAATGCAACACAACAAACAGAAACTTAGTGCACCAGAATATTTTAAAGAAATTGTGTTTGTTATAAATCTTTTCTACAAAAACTATTATAGAAACTCAGATGGCATAACTACTGAATGGCATTTAAAAATGAAACAATACTCTTAAACAAAGGCTTCTAGGTTACAGAAAAAGAGGAATGCTTCTCAATACAGCCCTGATGGCAAAAGCATTAAATAAAAACAGTCAAATTATTCTGGAACATGGATAAAGAAACAAAACTTATTTTAAATATATTAACTGATTTATTTTAAAGAGGCAATACACTATAACAAATCTGTTTTTATTTTTAAAATGAAAGACTAGAATAACATTTGCAAAGAAATAGGCCTGTGTGGTGACTCATGCCTATAGATCTAATACTGTGGGAGGCCAAAGCAGGGGGATCGGTTGAAAACCAAAGATATTTTAATGGTATTTGTATTTCATGAGTTTATTCATTTTGTGATCAACCTGCACAATTAGCCAAATTATTAGTAATATTTTAAAAGTAGATTATATGGGATGCTAATAAAGTTCAACATAGAATTGAAAGAAGCACCTGAACAAGTCCTCAAAAACAGGGATTTCACACTTTTCTCTTGCTGCTTATAAAAGAGACATTGCAGTGAACCTAGAGAAGACTTAAGCTAAACAATTAATCAACTCACATATGAACACACATACACTCTCTATGCAAATATCAAAAATTTATATTTTCAAGTTTATATAAAAATGTTGCAAAAGTACACTACAATATCGTCATGTCAAGCACTTCAATATAAAATTACAGTGCTGTATTTTCAAGGCAGAACCATGATAGCCAAGCTTTACCTGTTGATACTTGAATACAGTTTAATATTTAATATTAATTAACTAAAAATTAGTAACTTTTAAATCACTTCTTCAGTCACAATAGTTACATTTAGACACAGATATAGAACACTTCCAACTTCACAGAAAACCTTCTGATTATAAGTTATTTAAAATACAAGTTATTGACTAACATTTGAAAATTCGAATTGCTAATAATTCAGTAATATATTTATAAGTAAATTAAGGGCTAAAAATATCACAATGAATATTCAAAATTATATAAATTCCCATGAAAATAAAGCCTTTCTTGTGAAAAACAGATTTTCTTAAATGTATAGACAACAGAAGACAAAAGCAGAAATTGAATCATCTGAGAATTCATCAAGGAAAATTAAAATGGGAAATTTGATGCTTACTGCCAGTAAATATAAGCAATGTAGTAGAAAGGAAATAATAAAAAGTTCAAAATTATGACCTTAAACACAATTACAGTGGGGATGTACAACAAGCAAAAGTATTTTTATTGCAAAAAGTAAAATAAAATTGTGATGAAAGAATATTGACGAAAAAAATCAGATAAGGCACAGATTTTTGTTTCTGAATTAAACAGAAGAAATCATTATGGATTTATAGATATCAATCATTATTGATATTTAACTGTATTCAGCATACATTTTAATATTCATATAGAATTTAATCTAGAAAATAAAAATTATCAAAATGCAGTACCACAAACAGAAACTTAGTACAACCTTCATGTATTAAAGAAATTGACTTTGTTATAAAAACTTTTCTACATAAATATTATGGGAACTCCAACATCATTACCACTGAATATGAACTTTTATAAATGAAACTGTACCAAAAAGAAAAAATTCTTCCAGGTTACAGAAAAAAAAGGACCACCTTTCAATACAGCCTTGGTAGCAAAAGTGTTGAATAAAAGCAGTCAAACTTTCCTGTGAACATGGATAAAGAAACAAATACTGCCTTGAGCCGGGCTCGGTGGCTCAACCTGTAATCCCGTGCCTTTGAGAGGCTGGGGTGAGATGATTACCTGAGTCCGCGGGTTCAAGACCCTCCTGGGCAGCGAGACCTCATCTCTACAATAAATCAAAAAATAAGCTGGGCATGGTAGCGCATGCCTGTAATTCTGGCTACTTGGTCCGCCGGAGCCCAGCAGGTCGAGGCTGTGGTGGCTGGGAGTGGCCACTGCACTCCACTCTGGGTGACAGAGTGAGACTCCAACTCAAAAAAACAAAAAACACCAAATATTACCTTGAATATAATATATTCATTGATTTATTTTTAAAGGAGCATTACATAATAGCAATTATGATTTTTTTTAAGAGACTCAAGACTGGTTTAAAAATGGAAGAAATAAGCCCTAGCAGAGGTTCGTATATATTATTCCAACTATTTAGAAGGTCGTGATAGGAGGATTGTTTGAATCTAGGAAGACAAATAATCCTAGGTCACATATCTCTGCAAAAATAAAAAAAAAGAAAAGAAAAGAAAGAAAAGAAAAAAATTATTCCTTGTGGTAGCATGCAATGTAACTGTGTTACCAAGTATTCAGGAGGTTGAGGAGAGAGGATTCCTTGAGTGCGGTAGTTAGAAAATGCAATAAGCCATCATTGTGCCACTACACCCCACTCTTGGAAGTAGAGCAAGACTCCTTACACAAAAATAAGAGAATAAAAGAAAAGAAAGAAAAAAAAAAAACAACTTGAAGATAATTATAGTTTACATTGTTGTGAACATTATATGGAGAAAACATATTGAAAAGAATAAAGTAAATGCAATATCATTCTATAAAAAATTGATTAGAAAAATTAGAATATTCTTATATTCCTTTGAGAAAGTTAAGATGAAAATTTCTAAACATAAATATTTTTTTTTAACCAAACAGGTAGTAATGCATAGAATATGCATAGAACTTTTATTGTACCTTCTATTTATTAGAAATAAACCCCTCACAGTGAAACTATTTCAAGAAGAAAATCATTACACCTAGAGATAGAAAAGAAAATTGTAATTATTTACAGATAAAATAGCTGATTATTTAGAAAATACAGAACAATCTATGCTTTAAATTTTAGTGTTAATACATAAAATCAATGAAGCAACTGAATATACGATCAACGTGCAAACTTCATCGGTATTTACACTTGTAGCAACATACATTTCTAATATAAATTTTAAAATAAAGATTCCATTTACAAAAACCAGAAAGTAAAATACCTATATTACGGTGTGATTTCAAAACTAAAAAGTTACAAAATGTGTGATAGAGAGAAATTAAAGAAAATTTAACATTGAATCACAGTCTGAATTTTGTTGAGTCAACACTACAAAGATCCATAATCTTTAAAAATTATTTGACAGATTTAATGCAGTCCCAAATGTAAATCCCATGAGAGCTTTTTGATGTCATTATTTATTTATTTCTTGCCAAATGAGTAATATGCCCATTTCATATTAAGATTAGAGAGGCACATCTGACATATTCATGTGAAACCCAATTATCCCATTTATAAACTACAAAAAGTGAGCGTTTACTTTTTTTTGAGGTGTCATGTATATAATATAAATTTCATCCACTTAAAAATTTTAATATATTCATTGAGTTCCAACAAAAACCACTATCAAAACAACAACAACAACACTGTAGCTATTGGCAGTCACTTTCTAATTAACCTTCAGCCCTTAGCCACCGCTATTCTACTTTCTGTCTCTATGGATTTTCCTATTCTTGATATTTCACACAAACAGACTCACATAACATGTAACTTTTAGAAAGCTTTAATGACACAAATCAAATGTCCAGGAAAAGGAGTCAGGCACAACAGCAGCGATATCTGCCCTTGGTGGTGTGTGTATTATTCATTTGTAACTCATTTTGAAATGTATTTTCATTGCTGAAACAAACAACATAATTCACTTTCAGACTTATGTGATCAAAATATTATTTTTATTTCATAAAATATAAAATTACCTGATAGTCCAAACTCAGGTGTTTGAATTCTGAAACGTATGCTTACAACTATACAGTTGTGGAACTCCACATCTGTTTGCCTGAAGTCGTTGGAAGCGTATCCTTGCACAGTTGTATTGAGCAAAATATTCTTTTATCCTATAGTGAAGAAAAAGCCACAATTCATTTTGCTTCAGGTTAACAATCTGTGAAATAAGAGAATTATCCATGTATTTTAAGAAAATAATACCCTGAAAAGAGGTTAGAGCATTTATCATATTATAATAGTCAGTTAAAACTTAACCAAAACTTAAGTCGGTTAACCAAAACTTAAGTACCCCCCTTACTTTGAGGGAGACATTAACTCCAGTGGATTCCTGAAACCATGAGTAGTGCCAATTCTCATACGAGTAAATACTGTGTTTTTTCTCTACATACATACCTATAAATTGGGCAGCAGAGTTTATCAATACCCAATAATTTGACATAATAATTATGGCAATACCTGACATCACTACTCTTGCATTAGAGGCACTTATTAAGTAAACTAAGGACTTATTAAGTAGCACAGCACCATGAAGAAAGTGGATCTGATAACTAGATGACTATAAGTGATAGACACCAAGTAGCATACACAGTATGGATACTCCAGAAAAAACAATGATTCATGTTTCAGGTGGGAGAGATCAATACTACCAAAGATTTGATCATGCTACTCAGAGCAATTCACATTTAAAACTCACGAGTTTTTTCCTGAAATTTTCTACTAATACTTTTGGCTGAGGATGATCCTGAGCAATGAAACCACAGAGAGTGAAACTGTGGTTTAGGGGGTGTACTGTAGCACGTTATGTAATATTTATTTCAACATTGCACTACCTTTCATAATCTTTCCTCATGTCTAAAAATCAAAATAAGCTTATTCATAATATTCTTTGAATTTCTCACTTTTATATATTCATTCTCTTTATAGCACTGTTCCAAAAACTTACTTATGTTTGAACATTGTGCCCCTTATTGACACCCATGGATGATCAGTACTGTTACGGGAGACTCCAATCCATGCTTCATGTACGAGAGAGTCCAGAAGTTTCTAACAGAAAATAAAAAAATTTTCATGTAAGTAACAATTATGATAGATTGTATTAGCTTTAAAAGTACAAATAGTGTATTTTTCATAATATCCTTAATTTAAAAAAATATATATACTAAACTTAAACATTTTTCTGTAGTGTCTACATTTTTTGTGTAAATTCAAGGTATTCAAGCATGTTTTTGTTACATGTGTATATTGCCTTGTAGTGATGTTCAGGGTTGAAGTACAACCATCATCTGAAAAATGTACATTGTACTCATTAAATAATTATCATCCATCACCCCCCTCCCACTCTCTGTCCCATCAGTGCTTTCAAGGTCTGTATTTCACTCTTTATGTCCTTTTGTACCTGCTATTTATCTCCACTTACATATGAGAACATATGTTATATGATTTTCTGTTTCTTACTTATTTCACTTATGATAATAGCCTTTTCCAGTTCTTTTCCTGTTGCTGCCAAAGTCATGGTTTGCTTTTTTGAGTTGTGGAGTATGTCCTAAGGTGTGTGTCTGTTTGTATGTGTTATTGTGTATGTTTGTGTGTGTGTGTATATATACATATATACATATATACACACACACATATATATGATATATGCGCAAATATATATATGTATAATACATTTTTATCCAAACATTTTTATTCAACCATTTGTTAATGGACACTTAGATATATTCCATATCTCTGATGCTGTGCATAGTGCACCAGAAAATGTAAAAGTGAGTGTTTCTTTTGTGATATAATTTGTTTGCATTTGTGTAGACACCCAGTAGTGTGATTGCTGGATTAAATTTAGTACTGCTCTTATTTTTGAAAAATCTCCAAACTGTTTCCCATAGATGTCGTACTAATTTACATTTCCACCAACAGTGTATGATGTTCTGTTTTCTCCACATGCTTGTGATCATTATAATTTTTTTCCCTTTATTGATAGTCATTTGGACAGGTGTAAGTTGGCATCTCATTGTAATTTTCATTTAAATTTATTTGGTAATTAGTGATTTTGAGTATTTTATATACTTTTTGGCCATTTTCCATTTGTTTTTGAATAATGTTTGAAATGGAATGGTGATATGCTTTGAAACCTGATGTTCAGGGCTCAACAGAGTGCCTGGATATCTTCAAATCTCCACCAACAGAGAAAATGAAGTAGGTCTGCTGTTACCTAGCACCTGACTTACCAATATTTGTAATATTAAAACACAGGTCAATGGTTTTTGGGGAGAGGTAGTGGTGATGACCACATATACAAGAGCAGGGCTAGTGCTGAAAACTTCTGTTTCATGATGTTTGTATTTCATGAGTATATTCATTTTGTGATCATCCTGCACAATTAAGATATACTTAGCTTCCTTCATATACAGTAAAATTAAATAGCAAGATGTGTTTTAGAATTAAAGCATGTATGGAAGCATGGATTCTATGAAAAATTAATTAAATATGCATTAACAGAAGGTGAATACAAATAAACTATTTTCAAGTCAAGCAATATAATCTGCTTAGTTGAAAACAATTCAACAAAATATGTACAAGAAAATAGATTATTTCCTCAATTGTTTTACTGGCTGAAATAAGCTTTTAATAAGGTATTTGAAACATTTAAAGTCGTACCGTTTCTTCTTCAAAATCTATATAAAGCAGACTGGAGTTCATAGAAGCACATGCCATCACACTCTCATCCCAAGTTTTTGTTTCCTTTCCAAGGTAGTAACAGCTGTTGGAATATGTAAACCATTCCTCTGGACAACTACAATTATATGCTGAGGAAACATTGTAAATTACCCACAAACAATATGAATACTTTAAAATGACACTTACAGTGTAAATTTGCAAAAGTATGTCATGTATGTACATAACATATCTAGCTATTCTCATAGGATGGTACATATGATTTAAAACCCGCTGACTCAAACACATACACACTGCAAAGCAGCAGTCTTTCCTCCGCTAATTGTGTTCACACGTGAAACAAGCCAGCAGTCTAACGGTCATATTAATCATATCTTTAAATCACTAAACAGACATACCTTTTTTATAAGAGTAAAATTATTTATCTAATGATTTTATAGCAATAGGAAATTTCAACAAATACAAAAAAGGGTATAGTGTTTATGAATTAGTATTTATATTTATTGCTAAAGAAAAGAAAATAAGCTCCTATATTTTATATTTACAGACACCTATGGCTAAATTTTCTAATTTTTCTCCTGAATATATCTCTGGTGAATTTTTCATTTCAAAAGAACAATACAAAATTAAAACTCTTTTATTTTAGAACATTGGAAATCATTATGTACCTTTCTGTTTGCTTTCATTTTGGAAAGAATTGGTCTGCTTCTGTATTGCAGTCACTAAAAAATTTAAAATAATCTTTTAGAAAATTAATATATGAATAAGTCATAATAATGTTAGTTCTTTGAAATTTGGTATATTGTTCAGATATAGAAAAATATAGAACTGTGTGACAAAAAATATATATAAAGTAATTGAAATTTTGAAAAAATATTTAAATAGTGCAAAGAACCAAATTCAATATTTCATACAGTACTTGATTTAGCCAACTTTCAAAAATTAAGTTCTATTTCTCAGTAAGGTTTTTCAATTTGTAAAACATCTTTTTGGAGTTTGAAATCAGAACACATACATCTAATTTAAAGTAAATACTTTTTTATAACTATTCTTTCATTTATCCTTTTTACAAATTCAGAACAATCATTCCACATTTAGAACAAAAACACATGTAAAAATGAGAATTCTATTCCTCAATATTTCAAAATATTTAGAGGCATTTCTATTCATTTAGGTGGAAAGCTCTCCTTTATTTTTCCAAAATATACTTACAATGAATAATAACTATTGTTACCATGGTCACTATTAATGCCAAACAGATAATCCCCAGGATGCCAGCAATGAGCTTCTCTGGAGGTGGTAATAAATCTATAGAAAGAGAAATAAAAACACAGAGAAAAAAGAGATGGAGATAGTTATTTAGAAGATTTGCAGACAAGAGAACCCACATACATAAGAATCATATAGATAAACTTGGACACCAAACTGCATAACCCCCAATAAAGTTTTTCTTATAGAGTACCATTGCATTTTGAGTAAATATAATGCTCCGTGATTTGCTGGACAAAAACTATAGATTTCCACAATGTCCAGGTAAAGATAGCATCCATATTTCATTTTTAAATAGCATAACCCGTATTGGAACTCTGAAATTCACAAATAAAAAATATGTGAACAAACCTACTCTTTTCCCATATACTGTTACCCAAGCTGCTCATTCTGGACAATTACACTGGGGAGCTATGAAGAGCCATACCTTTACTGCGGAAAGTTTTGTCATTGTTTAGAAGATCCTGAGAAGCAGTATGAAGGCTTAATTCCGCATAGGTTATTTCCTGTTCAGTTACTAAAATGGAGCTTTTTTTGCCCTTATTTCTCTCCTGGTTCTTTGGGTTTGTGGGCAAATTGAGTTTTGAGTAGATTACTCTGTGATTATCCATCTTTCTTGTTGTGTGTTATCAGGAACTCTTCTGTATAATAACAGTGCTTAAGAGGTTAATACATAGTTTATAATGACAACATGCCTAGCATAGTCAAAAGGAGCAAAATGGAGAGAAAGTACCCATATTTAAGTTTCATTGAGGAATCTACAGTTTTTGCTGTAATTTCCTTAGACTTAAACAAGTTTCTTATAGAAAAATATATTTTTATAAAGGTTTATGCTTTTCAAAAAAAATTATTGCTGGGGCAATGAAAAGCAATAAATTAGTAAACTAAAAAAGAAATTCATGAATTAAAATAAATAAATTAGTTAAGTGTGATTCACAAATATATTTTAATGTCAATACAATACCTGTATTAAAATTTTTAATATGGTTTATAGTAATTTTGAAAGTCAAAGTTTGTTAAGACTTGTCTGAAAATGGAAAACATGGATGTTGACATATATATTATAGTTTTGCTAATCAACTTTTATTTGATAGCTTACAGTCATTTATTGAAATGAATTAATGGTTACAAAATGGTTTTGAAATACTGATGAGTCTGATAAATTATTAGGAATGTAGCAATTTATATTTTTTGGAAAATATTACATGACATAATAAAGATGCATAACAGTATTGGAGAGATTAAAACTTTTAAAAAATACTTATTTCATAGACATATTGGCTATTATTTCCTGGCTAAAATGTAAAACCATAAAACAATAAATAAAAATATAGATCATTTATGTAAAAACTCTCTTGGATTAACATTACCAAAAGATTCCTTTACTGTCAAAATATGTCAAGGTCCTTTTAGTTATGTATTTGCAATAATTCAGATAATAATCTAATAATTTAGTCAATGGAATCTGAAGATAGAGAGGTCTAGAATTAATCCTGACCTTGAAGTTTATAATGTGCGCCCTTTGAAAGTTATTCAGTATCTAATAACCCAGCTTATCAATGAAAATGAGCATAAGAGCATATAACACGTAATGTATGTAAAACATTTGCCAAATTGGCACATAATGTTTTCAACAAATATCATCTATTTTAATTATGATTTACATCACAATTGCTATGTTATTTTTTCCTATTCATGTCAAAGCATGAAAAATAAATCATTAGAGAAGTACCTTACAGAAATGTAACATATACTTTTGCAATATTTGAACCAACTTTTAAAAAGTATTTTTCAAAACATTTTTAATGAAATTTAATATTTTATGTAATCTACTTCATACTCGTTTATTAAAAAATAAAAATTGATTTCATTAAATCTACTTTAGGGTCTGATAATAGTGTATTTAACTTTCATTTATTTATTTACTTTAACAATTTCTGTACAAAAGCTAACCTATATAATTTTTATATTATTCAAAGATACGCAATGTTCTGATTACAAAAATAGAAGATTACTTGATAGTTATGATATTTACCGGTTGCATAAATAATATTGACTAACAAACCCAAATATGTGTGAATGCAATTAACTACTTTCCACAGAAAATAATTTGAAATCTTTAAGAAATTCTCCAACATATTTTACATTCCAGGGATCTATCCTGACTTACTCTGTTTTATATTCTACATGCCATGGAGTGTAGAGAGTTACTACATATATAAGCTTTTTTCGATTTCATTTGCAAATATTGCCAACTTAAACCTTGTTAAGAGTGTTTCAGCAGTTTAAAAACCAATTTTAGACGAGAGTGCTCAATTTTAAACATTGCGTACATCTTTTTGCATATCTTTAATATGTGACTCTATTATGATAGAATAAATTATAAAACTTATGATAACATTATCAAGTATTTACTGATATTAATCACCAATTATTATGAGAAATTACTACATTTCCAACTTACAGTAACTGGCACAGACACCATCATCGACAAAGTTATATTCTTGACTTCTCTGCATTAGTTCTTAAATTCTTGCATTTGATTTTATTTTTAAACAAATTATTTAATCTTTTAATTCACCTTGTTAAAAATAAATGTATCTGGGAAGGATTAAACATTAATGAATTGTAAAATAGATCAGCATGCCAGATTATAATACACAACAAAATTTATTTTCAGACTTATGCAATCATATTACTTCCATTTAATGCAATATAATATTACTCCAAACTCAGGTGCTTTAATATTAAAGTGTATGCTTACAACTATATTTTTGTGAAGATCCACACTAGTGCGATCTTTGTGTGGCTCTAGTGCATCTGATTATAGTATTACACATTATGCTGACCAGGATCTGATTCTCCACCATGTAGTGAATACAAATTGATAATTCTGTTATATTTTGTAGGATTTTTGCATGAAAGAAGATCATGTTTCCATATACTGTAAGAATGAATACTATGAAACCAGATAATGGCATTTTTCATAATTATTACAAATAATTGATTATCATGATAACTGAAAAGAGCAGTTTCCTCTTATCCTGGTAGGAGACATTGACCCCAGTAGATGTCTGAAACTCCAGATAGTACAAATCCCTGTATAAACTATATTTTCCCTATGCATACAAACCTACAATAAAGTTTAACTTATTATAAATTATTCTTACACAAGAGATAAACTATAACCATAATATAAAATAATAACTATAACAACATACCTACAACACTACCATTTGGGACGATTATTAAGTACTAAAATGCCTTGAACACAAGCACCACCGTGGCAAGACATTCCATCTGATAACTGAGACAGCTACTAAATGACTAATAGACAATAGCATAGACAGTGTGACTCTGGCAAAACAATGATTCATGTCCCAGTTTCGACAGGTGCTTGCTCCAGAAAGTTGTTCATACTGCTCAGAACATTACACAATTTAAAAATCATTAATTGCTTCTAAAATTTTTAAAAATATTTTTAGGCTGTGGTTGATCCTGAGTAACTGAAATCACAGAAAATAAAATTGCAAAGAAGGAGGGCCTAATGTAATGCATTCTTTAATATTTTTATCAAATTTTACTAATTTTAAATTTTTTCTTTATGTCTGTAATTCATCTTATACTTATTATATTATTCTTTGAATTTATCCTTTTATGTTTTTTCTTCTATATACACCATAAAAAAAGTACTTGTGTTTGAATATTGAGTCAGTTTTTGACAACCAAGGATGATTATTGCTGCTATCAGAGATTCCAATCCATACTAGCAGTTACAGGAAGACCAGAAGTGTCTAACACAATAAATGGTATTCATGGTAATAATAATTTCGGCCTCAAGTTGCCGCTGCCCATGGAGGACCTCGGCACCCTCCCCTCAGAGACGGGGTGCCCTCCCAGGCTGCTTCCCACCTGCTTCCCACCTGGCTCCAAGCCACCAATACCCACAAAGGCCCTTGGCTCCCACCCCTTGGAGCTCTGGGTCCCCTCTCTGCCCCAAGCTGCTGCCACCCAAGGAGCTCCAGCCTCCCTCCCTGGCTGCAGAACTCAGCCCTTCCCCAAACCTCCACCACCCAGGGAGTCCTGCAGCTACCTCACCCTCGAGCACTGAGCTTTCTTTCTTGTTGGCTGTACCACCCCACCCCCAGCCACCGTGCACACTATACTGACCAGCAACACTCAGTAGTCTCAAACTCCGCCTCCTTCGACACCCCTGGCCACTGCACGACCAGAGAATGGCTGGAGCGCGGAGACTACGCAGAGACCTGCATTGCCCCTTGAGCTCCACCCAGCTATGTGCAGCCTCCAGCTTGGAACCTAAGATCAAAGAAAGAAAAAGAGGCCCAAGCTGCGTGTGACACGCCCTCCGACAGCTCCCAGCTATCTCACACTCTGCCTGCCCCAGCTGGACCTGGCTGCAGTAGAACCAGAGATCATCTGGAGTCCTGTGACCAGGCAGAGACCTACAGTGCCTCGCTCACACAGCTCTGCCCAGCCTCCAATGTGGGACCTAAGACCTCATCTTTGTGTAAGGGAATAGTACATCATAAGGAGTTTGGTCAGCTTGCATGTCTGTATGATTGTATGTCCTAGTTTGTTTGTCGTTGTCGCTACTGTTTTTTTTTTTGTTTGATTGATTGTGTTTTGTTTTGTTGTTTTTTTCTCTTACTTTTATCAGACTTAAGGACTATTTTCATTTATTAGTGGGTATCTTTATCCCTTTCTTCTTACTCTTCTCTGTGTCTGCCTTCCACTTCCCTCCCACCCCAGCTCCATTTCTTTCCCTTTTCTTACATCATTTTACTTTCAGGGAGCAAATCAATACTCCCACTTCATGAACAGATTACAAGGCGGTGGGAAGCAGGTTCTAGTGTATCCATACACCTGTCAGTGGATACTTGATCTGCAGATATATTTTGAATCACAGTTCCCCCATCAAATAAAACTCTAACTGCAAATGTAGAGCCCCACCCTACATTCCAGCTTCAGAACTGAACAAAGCCAGAGGATTCACACAAGGAAGAATAGGAGATTGAGCCAACAGAAGTAAAAGCAACCCAACCACCCCTGAACAACAGATTTAAAGAAGACAGAGAAAAAAAAGGAAAATGTGGGAGGAAAACCTACACAGATGAAGAAAAACCAAAAGAAGAATATGTCTCACACAAACCCCTGGGAGATCAGATAATGAGGAAACAGAGTTCACAATGCAAACAGTGAAGAGCCCCCAGAATGGTCACAGACTACAAAATATCAAGATATTAATAGAGAGAATAAAAATAATTGAGGAGAGACAAGCAAAAAATAGGAAGGAGTTGATAACTGAGATAACAGCAGTAAAGAATACTGTGATTGAGCTGGGCTCGGTGGCTCAGCCTGTAATCCCGCGCCTTTGGGAGGCTGAGGTGAGTGGATTGCCTGAGCCCGCGGGTTCGAGACCCGCCTGGGCAGCGAGACCTCATCTCTACAATAAATCAAAAAAAAAAAAATCAGCCGGGCGTGGTAGCGCATGCCTCTAATTCCAGCTACTCGGAAGGCTGAGGCGGAAGGATCGCCGGAGCCCAGCAGGTCGAGGCTGCGGTGGCCGGAAGCGGCCACTGCACTCCAGTCT